CGGCTGATCGACGTCACGACCGACCAAGTCCCTATTATGAGGGCAAGCCGCCCTCCACGGAGATCGGCGACCCAACCGACGACGAGCTCTTCACGGGGATCACCTTCGACGGAACCGCAAGCGGAGCAGAATTTGAGTTCATCCATGAGAACATGACGTGCTACTTCGACATGCTGAAGTCCGAGCTCGCGGACAGCGAAGGTCGTCGCAGGCTCACCACCCAGATGCTGGACTGCTTCGTGGCGAACCAGAAGCGGAAGGACAATATCGATTTTCATTGGAGCAAGCTGTCCTCCGCCGAGAAGGACGAGTTCCGCAAGGCTACGACGAAGGAGGTCCCCAACTGGAAGCGGTACAAGGGCTTGCGACTTGTCCCGATCTCCGAGGTGAAGGACCCTGCGGACGTGTTTCGCTGTCGGTGTGTGCTGACCCGCAAGAGCGACGGCACGGCGAAGGCTCGCCTCGTTCTCCTCGGCTACCGGACCATGGATATTGGACGGGAGCCGACGGCATCGCCGACAGCTTCCCGCAGAGCTAGGAACATCCTCCTCACGGTGGCGGCCGCGAACCCGTGGAGCATCGTCAAGGGCGACGTCACCAGCGCGTTCCTCCAGGCCAACGACCTCAAGAAGGACCTCGTCGTGGAGGCGGATGAAGCTCTCTCGGCAACTTTCGGCGTCCAACTTGGCGAAGCACTTCGGGTCGTCAAGCCGGGCGATGCCAGACCGTGAAGCTGGACTTCGCGAAGCTCGGCTTGCAGGCATGCGACTTGGAACCTTGCCTCTGAGGCTTGCGATGCCCCGGGACCGAAGCACTTCTGCGCCTCGTGATGTGCCGCGTGGACGACTTCATCCTCTGCGGCGGCCGAAGCCACCCCGCTTGGCGGAAGGCGCTGAAGGGCATCAAGGAGCTCTACACCTGGGGCACCTGGGAGGACATAGATGACGGGATCGACCCATCGAGCAGCGCGGGGTCTCGATCGCGGCGAACGACAGGGGCTTCTTTCAGCATCAGCAGAGCTACATCGACAAGCTGAAAGAGATCTTCCCGAAGTACCCCGAAGGCTCGACCCAGCGATCGACTATCAGAAGCGGATCATAGTACTCTACGGACCTGGTGTGGCGCGTCATCTCTGCTGGGCGCGAATACATTACCATTGGTTTTTCGCGTGGGTCGCAGACGTTCAGAGCAAGACCCTTACCGGCGACTACAAGCTCTTCGGGATCGCCAACAACATCACCAAGATGGTCAAGGCCAACAGGACCGACGGGATCCAGATATTCCGTCACAGTCTGCTTGGGCGCGGACCAGGGCTTCCTGACTTTCGGATCTTCACGCGGCGCGACGCTGCCTGGGCCAGCCGACCAGACGGACATTCCCAAGGCGGACATGTCACGGCGCTCAGCACTTCCTAAGGGCCCGTCCACATCGCCTGCGACTTCACGGCCCTGGATTAGGGTTCTCGCAGGCTGAAGAGGGGGGCCCGCTCAAGCTTATCAGCTGAGATCCAGGAGGCTAGCGACGCCAAGGGCGAGCAGAAGATGGCACGACTGGTATTGCACGAGGTGTTCTACGGGAGGTTTGATCTTCACGACCGCCAAGGAGCTCTCCATCGTGTACCGGGTGCCCTCGCGACGGACATCAAGGCGTTCGGCGACGGCGCGGCGAAGTCCGAGTCGGCCGGGTTAGGCCTCGACGAGAGGCGGACGGCCATAGACGCGTTCGCTTTGCGCCGCGCCCTCGAGGAGGGCGGCACCCTCGTACGCTGGGTTCACAGTCATGCTCAGCTGGCCGACGGCATGACCAAGGCCAGCCTCCAGGCGTTCAACGTGCTCCACGCCTTCCTGAAGAACCAGAGGTGGAAGATTGTCCACAACGAGAGGTTCCTCTTGGCGCGGAAGAGGTCTGCGCTCGGGAAGGGGATCTTCGACGAGACGACCGACACGGACCACTCGGAGGCGAAGAAGATCTTGGAGAGCAGGAAGCGCGATCGGCCAACTGCCAGTGACGTGGCTACAGCCGGAGCCACGGACAAGGGGTTCGAGCAGATCTTGTTCCCCTTGTTTGATTGTGAAGGTGTTCATGTGAGGGGTCTGCTCGAGAGTCCGTCCGCTGCAGCCACTCGGGCTCGGCAGTGGGCCGGCGGGCTTTCACGAGCAAGGCGGCGTTCCGCCTCGGACGGCGCGGGCTGCGCGCCGCCGCGATCGCAGGAGCAAAAGGTGTTCTTCTTTCATCCTCATCGTGTGCATCACGAAGACTGCGTCTACCTCCGACGACGACAGGGATAGGGCTATCGGTGCCCTTGGTTTCAGACTGTTGGACCCTTCTGGGGCTCGGGCCTCTGGGCAGAAGTCGCCCGAGAATCCCCGGGCGCCACGCGGCAGGCCCCAGAGAGCGCGGACAATTGGGGGGCCTGGGCCCCATCCAGAATGTTTACAATGTTCGAATATTCGATACGCGTCGCCGCGCCGTTTGTTCCGACGCGTGGCCTTATGTCTTGGGGAGGGCGCCTCGGCCACCAGGGCAAACGCCGCCTCGGACGCGGTGGGTTCGCCGTGGGTTCGCCACGGTGCGCGTTTCGTCTACTAGGGGCGCGGGACGCAGGGTTTGTCGTGAATTTACCGTGGTCCTTGGGCGCGTCGAGTACACTCGGCGCGGCGACACACCGGGTTATGACGGACCTGAAGACACTCCACTCAGTGCCGGCGGCAAGATGCTGAGTTTTTCGGTTGCAACGAAGGGTTTGGAGGCCAGAGGTTGTGCTGATACTTGCGCTTGGTTGGGGCCTTCAGGGCGACACGGAGAGGCACGACGGTGGTACAGTTCCCCCATCCCTCCTCCCCCCCTTTCCCTCTGTCACGTTGCGGGTACCTTTTGCGTTTTTCCCCCAGCCGCGTTGCCCGTGTGATTCCTTCTCTCCCTCTCCTCAATTGCCGTTCCATTCAACATCCGCCCTCCAATTCAGTTGTTTGCATCATCCATCAAGCATACCGTCGGCTCTTCGCGTGTTGGGGTTCCTCCCCCTCTCTCTCTATCTCTTTCTCTCTATCTCTCTCTCTCTCTCTCTCACACTCATCTCTCTTCCATCCATGTCATCACCATTGTCCTTCCCTCCCCCTCTCCCCTCCCTCCCTCTCTCAGTCCCCCATCCCTTTCCACCGCCCTGTAGATTAACCATCCCCCCCTCCGGGCTATCCATCCATCGGTCTGTGATCTCTCTCGCTTTATCCCCAGGGCCCGCCCAGATATAGAGTTTGAAATGCGCCCTTCTGGTGTCCCCCCTTCCCTCGCCCCCCGTCCCCACACAGCCACAGGGGTAGGGGAGAGGGGGGGAGGGATGGAGGAGAGTGAACGGAGGATACCAGGACCGTCGTTCGGTCTATGTTCGGAGGCTAGGAAGCCATGTTATGATATCCTCTTTGTTGTGCTGAGCCGTAGAACATGTTGGTGCGACCATGTATCCGAGTTCAGCACAAGTCAAAGACTAAACAGGGCGGGCCAGAGCGCAGTGCCAGAGCGTGTGCGGATCCGAAGTGGAAACCTTAGGCGATGCAGGCTTCGAGCGAGTGGAGTCCAAAGCGTTCTGTTGACCGTAGCGATTGGTGCCGAAGCAAACCAGAAAACGATCAGATCAAAAGTGGCATTACCTTTTACATAAGATGATGCGGAAGCCATGCAGTGCCCCAAGCAGAGTGTCTGCAAGAATCCTATGCAATGTGTCAAGGCACGCGGGAGAATTTCCAGATCCAGAATCGGTGGCCCGTATAGTGTCCCGTATAAAACCCTGTATGGATTCCCAGATGTTTCCATATGTTTCCCCGCATGTTGTTCAGCATGGTCTTCCGCACGGGTTCCCGTATGGCCTCCTTTACGCACAGTAGCACGCAATGTTCTCTTAACGTTTCGAGTATGCTGTTTGCGCATGTTGTCGCCAGGGTGTAATATCGGGTTGCGTTGCAACGCTTCGCCTTGTTGCACCTAGCATTATATCGGCTTGTTGCCCCTTGTTTCACCTCGCGTGGCCCGTGTTGCCTTGACGTGTTTTCTTCCGGGGTGCATGTTTATTGTGTCACGCGTTGCAGGTTCTTGCAGCCACTGCGCATGTTGATGCTTGTGTGTGGTTTGCCGTCCCTTCCACGCATAGTCATTGACGTGATTTTGATGAGGGCGTTGCCTCCCTCTGTTATGCGTTGCCGTGTTGCGTCTTCCTTTGCCGTCCTCCTTCGCCAGTTGTTGCCAGACCCGTATTTCGGCTGTGCGTGTGGGTGGTGTGTTCGTGGCATTGCCATTTCTTCCCTGGATTGCTCCGTCTGGATTGCTCCGCCTTGCCCCGCCGCACCAATTTGGGACATGTTGCTGTGGTAGTACAATATAATATGGGAAGAATTAGTCTAACCAGGGTTGGCCGGAAGGGTTAGCTGGATCTCTGGAGGTTGGCCAGGAATGTCGGCAGGGTCCGTCGTCGCACGAGTTGATTTGTGACGTTGGTTTTGACAAATGTGGTTTTCACCCGAGACATCCTCAGAGAAAATTGATACTGTTATCAAAAACAAACTTCTTGCCTGAGACGTCGCGAGGAAGTCTAATGCGAAATCGAGGGGTCATGGAAAAACACGTAGCACAGCATAGCACAGAAACGAGTATCATATAATCCCACGCCATGGTATGGCATACATGTCATACCATTTGGGCCGCTTCGCTGATGTGAACGAAATACTTCACATACGATTGATCCCAGCTTGATTGTGGAGACAGGATGCGTGGCAAATCAATGATGTGCGCCACTAGTTCTTCCTCTTTCCCCTCTCTCCTTCTGCTCCGCCTCCTCCTTCCCGTGTGTTCCGCTCCGCTTCGCAAAGGTTCCTCCCATGTTCTGCCTTGGGTGTTCGTCCCAGCCGTTTCTCTCCTGAATCACGTTTCTTCCGTGGAGATGGAGGAGGAGGATCGTCTTTGAAAATGATACCACCTTGACTGCCTGTCCCTCTCAGCGAGTAGCCCAGGTCCATGGCAGCATTCGCGCACTCCATGGCCGTGCCCGCGGGAGGCGGGCCGGTGGGAACAGAGTTCCCAAGAAGCCCGCCGACGGTGTTGCCATTGCACATCCAGGACGGTCGCCCTTGCGGTGCTGGCAGCTGCCTCATCATCGCTTGCGTTCGCGGCGTGCCACGTCGATTGGTTTGCGGGCGACGATTCTGTGGATCCGAGCATCCACGGTGTGTTTGAATTGCGTTCCAGGGTGGATTCGCAGAGTCGGACGTCACAGTGCTGAATTCCCCGCGCAATCTCGCAGCGAGGGATGCGCTCTGTTTTTCCACAACTGTGAGCACAGCGTATGGAAATCGTGGCAGATGTTCTCGAGTGTCCGCCAATGCTAGATCTAGGATGTGCGCGGCCGTCGGCACCTGCTACGAAACAGTTGAACATCTGCTGCGGCCAAGAAGAAGCAGGTGCACGAGCTCTGAGTCTACGGAGAGAAGCGGTATCGGGAGGCAGAGCGTTGATGGTTCCTGCTTGTTTCCCTTTCCAGGAAAGGGAAACAAGCAGGAACCGTTCGGGCCGGTTTCGATCGGCCAGTTCGGTTCGAATCAGCCGGTTCAGTTTCAGCCTGTCCGGTTTTGGCTCCGGTTTGGGCGGTTCGGTTGCAGGAGCCGCCGGTTCACGGTTGCCAGTTCGGTTCAAAATTTTCTTGTTTCTTTTCTTCGCCGCCGTGTCATTCTCAAAAATTTCAGCACCAGCCTCCAGGAAAGGTGTGCTGAAGCGCCGCGAGAAAACGAAGTGTTCCACCCTCTTCTATTCCCCCGTTCTTCCTCCTCCCTAAATCCTCCTGCCTCTTCTCGTCCTCCCCCGCTCCCCCTTTCTCTCCGCCCCCTCCTTCGCTTGATCTCGGGAGCTGCCAGGAGATCTTTACCCGGGAGGTGTCTGGGGAAGGGGGGGAGAGAAAGAGATCAGAGAGGGGGGAGAAAGAGAGAGAGAGAGAGATTCTAAGTTTTGATGCTCCGCAAACATTGCTTGCACTGAGAGGTCCTCATTCGCTTCCCGAAGTAATTGGCTGGGAGTGCCCAGGGTTCGGCCGGTGCCTGTCCGTCGCTGCCTCGTGCGCCGGCTGGGTTTGCCGAAGCTTCGCCCGATGCCCGCGTGCGCAGCTTCGTCGCCGCCTCGTGCCCTGGCTGGACTTGCCGGCTAGGTTTGCTCCCCCGGTGCCCGCCCGTCGCCGCTTCGCGCGCTGGATTTGCTGGGTGTTTTTTGGCCGGTGCCCACCCATCGCCGCCTCACACAGGTTGCACGACATGTCTTGCACCAACAAGCTTGCAATACATAGATTGCACCCTAGTGGCACCTCATAGACTGCACATCACAGCTTGCACCACATAGCCTGCACTACATAGCACGCACTGCATATATTGCACCTCATACAGGTGCATCACATTGGACTGCATCATACAGGTTGCACCCTACATACTGCACCACATGGAGTGCCCATCGAGAGTGCAAGAGCCCATTGTGTGGTGTCCACGCAGAAACCATATGTGTACAGATGCGTGCACGCGTGCATGTGTGTGAGGGTGCCAGCCACTCGCCCGGAGCGCTGTCGCCAGGAAGACAACTCGCCCGGAGACCGCTCGCCGAGAAGACCGATCGCCCAGGTGACTGCTCGCCCAAAGGCCTCTGTACCCAGAGGACCACTCGCCAGGAAGCAGCTCGCCTGGAGACCGCGCGCCCAGAGACCGCTTGCCCAGAAGACCGCTCGCCCAGAACACGCATGCCCGAACACCGCGCGCCCGGAAGACCGCTTGCCTTCAGGCCCTGACGGACGGGTCGGACGTGCGGACCCTGATGATCGGGCCAGGTGGACCCTAAGTGATGAGCCGGTCGGGCGGACCCTAACGGGCCAGCCTGCGGGCGGGCCCTCACAAACGGGACGTCAGAGCGGTTGAGCGGGTGTTCAAGCAAGCAAGCAAGCAAGTTGGCGGATGACGGGTCGGGTGGGCGGGCCCTGACGGGCTGGTCGGACTGGCCGGCTTCCGGGCAAGCAAGCAGGTAGGCCTTGACAGGCAGGTCGGGCAGGCGGACCCTAACGGGCGGGCATGGTGGGCGGACCATACCTGGTGGGTCGGGCGGCCGGAGCATTCAAGCAAATCGGCGAGCGGGGGTCCAAGCAAGCGAGCAGGACATTAAAGCGGTGTTTTGCCCGAGCATTTTTTGCCAGAGCGGTTTCTGCCAGAGCGGTTCCCTTGCAGAAGCGGTCTTCTGCCAGTCCTGCAATTTCCCTCCAACCCCTCCTGAGGAGGCGGAAAGGGAGTGGGAGGAGGAGGAGGAGGAAGGAGGAGGGAGGAGAAGGAGGAGGAGGGGGGGGGATCAGAAGGTGACTGGCAGTTTTCTCCCACCTCGCTCCGCGAACCCACCGCCGGCAATCGCGCCAGCCTGGGCCTCCCCCGCATGACGGCCTCCCCCGCAGGAGGGTGCCGCAAAAGCAAAACAAGCGACCAGGGAGCGCTTCTGCTTAAAATAGTCCAGGCAGGGATCGATCTGGGATGGAACAAGCCTCGCGCCTTCCCCCCCGCGCGCAAGACGCCGTCTGGCACGTGTGCACTAAACACAGGAGGAGGGAAGAGAGGAGGAGGAGGAAGAGGAGGAGGAGCAGGAACAGGAGGAGCAGGAGGAGCAGGAGGAGACGAAGATGGGAGAAGGACAAGGATGATGGTTCTGTGACAAGTCGGCCACGCGCCCAACTCCTCAGCGCGAGCCCCTGCTGGGCTGCGACGGCAACCGCGATCACGGCGGCCACCACGACCGCGACGACGACGAAGCGGCGGCCCGAGGACGGGCGGTGGGCCAGCGGCGGGTTCCCAGCGGAGGCGGGCCGTGGAAGCCACGGGGCCCACAGCGTCTCCGTCCAGGCTCGGTGCCGGCGCGACGCGCGCGCGCGCAACGCCCAGATCCCAGATCCGCCAGTCCCAGGCGCCAGAGCACCTGGCGAGAAGGAGGACGAGGAGGAGGAGGAGGAGGGGGAGGAGGAGGAGGACGAAGGAGGAGGAGGACGAAAGAGGAGGAGAAGGAGGAGGAGGAGGAGGAGGAGGCGTTCTGGGGCGCTCGGGGCGCGTTGGACCTGTATCGCGAAATGTGCCAGCATCCTGCGCCAGTTTGCGGATTTGTGTCGGGTTTTTTGGAGAACCTCATGGGTTGCTTGGAAAGGATGCAGTACCACTGATGAAACAAATCTATAAACGTAATGCGCTGGTTTGCGTGGCTGTCGCCTGCTGTGATTTGCCCGAGATTTACACAACTTCTGGAGACCATCCAGAGAAGTGTTCTGTGTCGATGTCATTGTCACGATTGTCTGGCGATTGCTCCTGGCCGCCATGAGACGTTATTGACCGGGCGTTCGGAAGTTACATTGAGACGTTATGTAAACCTCGTGGGGCATGGAAGCCGTCCAGTCATGTTGGGATCGTGCCGTGTTTGTTTAAGTGACGGCACTCCCCAAGCCTTGCTTGCACGTAGGGTTTCTTATCTAAAGGCTGCCGCCTCTGCCGCCGACCCCAAAGGAGGGTTTGTGTTGTTTGTTTTCAGGGGTCGGTGCGCTCTCCGTCACCGCGGTGGGCGTCGAGGATAGACTCTTGCCTGTGGCGGCCGCGTCGTCGTCGGCTCGATTTAATTCGCCGTGGGCGCTGTTTGGGGCCCTCTTTGCCCGTCTTGTGGCATTGTTGTTTCTGAAGCAGTCACGCAGGTCTGAGGCAGACGTCCGGAGGACACGCCCACTCTGTGCCCCAGGCACGGTGGCAGATCTTGATCCATCACGAATGATCTTCATTGAGCAATCCTCCAGGCCCAACGGTGAAGGAGGAGGAGGAAGATGGGGAGGAGCCCGAGGAGAAGGAAGAGGGAGGGGGGACGGAGGAGCACGAGGAGGGCGGAGAAGGGCTTACCGAGAGCCATAATCTCGAAGGGAGCGCCGGCGTCCATAAGCCGGTCCCCCGAAAGGGGTGTATTGGTATGGGGCCCCATGTGGGTCCTGTACCAATGCTGCATGGAGCGCCGGTGTCCAAGCCGGTCCCCCGGGAGGGGTGTGTCGCGGGTAAGCCACGTCACTGCAAACATCTTCGAGGAGAGACATTTTCTGGTAGATCCCGCTGTCTTTCTCCCAACCGTAGAAGGGGACAACTATCGCGAATTTTTCTAAAGGCGCGGCTGCCAGACGATTGGAGCGGGAAGCTACGGCGAAATTTTCCCCAGACTCGTTCTCCGAACGATAGAGGGGGGCAACCATCGCGAATTTTTTCCCGGGCGCGTCTTCCCGATGATAGGAGGCGGAGACCATGGCGAATTGTTCTCCAGACTCCTCCTTTGCGGGAGAGAAGGTGGAAGCTGTCGCCATTCTGTCCCGAAGCGTGTTCACTGAGGCGAAGACTCTCGAGGAATTGGATCCAGGAACGACCTCTCTACGATGAATGGGGGAAACTATCGCGAAGTGTATCCCAGGCGCGTCATCTGAAAGATAGGACTGGAGAGCAACCGCGAATGTCGTCCCAGACTCGGCTCTTGAACAACAGAAAGGACAGACTGTCGCGTTTTGCGACGCAGGCGTCTCTCCTGCGCATTGCGGCGTCGTTGTCGGGCCGCCAAGCGCGTCGCGTTGGGAACGCCCGCACAGCTCACGCGCGTCGCTCGCCAGGGATTGGGTTGAACCGGAAATCGGGAAGGCAACGCCGCAGACGCCGCTCAGACATGGGGGGCGCGGGAATCATTGGCCATGGGATGCTGCGGGTGGCCGTCGCGTGGACCATGTACGCGTCGCCCGTGCTGCGCGCGGAAGTGCGCGCGTTGGCCGACGACGTGGACAGTCTGGGAAGTTTTGAGAATAAGTGTGTCCAAGTTGCAATAGCGAAGATGCGGCGAGGACGGTGGCGAAGGGACGCTTACAGATGCTTTGAACGAAGTTGCGCCAATCACGTGGTCTCCGGGGAGAGCACGACGGACCCTGAGGTGAGGCAAAACATGTTGGCCGCAGAGGCATGGTTGCGCGGCCAAGGAGTGTGCATCTGGGTGTACGAAGCGCAGAGTGCGGCGCACGTCATGCAAAGGGCGCCGCTCTTGAAATGGCCGCTCGGCGATGTTGAAGGGAGTTGTGTGGGCGCGGCCGTGTGGTTTTCGGAGGGTCACCTGGTGCGCGTCGCTGAAGGATGGCGCGGCATGCACGGCGTGGCCCACGGCAGAAGCACATGTGCAAGCGCCGTGGTTGCGAGCCGCTGCCGGTGCTCGCGGTGTCGCGGGACCGCGATGCAGCGCCATTGCGCAAGGGCTCAACGCCAGCGCAGATGGAGAGGGCGCGCGCACTCGCGCAAACGCGGCAATGCCCGCGCTTCCAGGCCTGCGGAACCCCAAGTGGTATTGCTTCATGAATGCGCCACTGCAAGCGCTTTTCGCGCTTCGAGAAGCGCGACAGGCGTTGCGCACGGTGCGGCGGGGCAGCCCTGCAGATTGGGCTGGATGGCGTTTTGCGGAGCGCCACCGCGCGGACCAGAGGTCTGGGAGGACGCCAGATTTTGACGTACTGTTGGCAGAGACTTTGTGGGAAATGGAGAGCAGTGCGGGCTCGAAAGCGATATTGCTAGACGCCATACCGCGCGTCTTCTATGATCGGACTCAGCAAGACGCCGGAGAATTTCTGCAGGAAGTCTTGAACGATGAGCGGGCGCCCGTCGTGAGTGAGCTGTTCCTGATGGAGAAAGTGGAACGACTCGTGCGCACCAGGGAGGGGTGTGATGGTGCCACGGTGATCAAAGGGGATAGAGACTTGACGTGTTTGGTGGTGCAGATACCGCGGGGAGACGGCGGTCGGGTGAGAACAGTGCAAGAGGCCGTGGACAGAAGCAGTGGCGGGGAGATGATGGAAGCAGGTCACAGGTGGACGTGCCCAAAAGGATGCGGTTGTCGCGCAGCGAGAAAGGAATGGCAGCTGACGCGGGCGCCGCAGTGTTTGTGGATCCAACTAGTCGCGCAGGAGTACGATGCAGTGTCCGGGAGAGTGATGAAAGTTCCTCATGCCGTCGTGCCCAGTGAGGAATTCGTACTCTGCGGACAGCAGTACGCGCTGGTGAGCTGCGTGTTCCACCACGGAGAAGGATTTCACACGGGGCACTATAACGCATGCTGTCGGACATCGCATGGCGGCAGAGCGCGGTGGGAGATGCGTGATGACGGCGAAGTATGGCCGAGCGCGTCGCCGTGTGACGCGCGTGGATGGAAGACTGCTGCGTCATCGTCGGTGCACATTCTGATGCACGCGCGCGTGGCCGCGGTGCCCGGGCCGGAGAGAGTGCGCGGGGCGGCGTCACTTGTGCGTGGCGATGGATCGAGGGCAGGGGCGGCCACGAGCGCAGCGCGTTCGGACTCGGGAACCGTTGGTGAGGCAGCGGCGTTGCAACGCGGCGTGGGCGACCTGGAGGGACCTTCGGCCGCGACGGGGCTGGTCATGCCGTCGCCGCCCGGAACGGTCGCGCTCCACCGGTGCACATCCTGCCCTGTGATCTCGTGGCGCCAGTGCGAGTCATCAGGGAGTCGGATGTCCGCGCATTGCGTCTGTTGCTGAGTCCGTGCGATACGCCGGATGCGTGGGGCGTTCCCGGACTGGAGTTCATGCCGGGAGAGCTGCGCGCGCAACTCTGGAAAGCGCGGGGCGACACGGAAGCTCTCCTGCGAGTCATGCAAGAAAAGTGGGTGCGTGCCTGGCACGGATGGGAGGAGTCACGGGACGCTCTTGCAGGCGCTCCCGACGCAGAGGATAGGTGCCGCGTCGTGGAAGAGCGAACGTGCAAGTTCATGGAATTTTTGATGGGGGAAGTGGTGTTCGAGGCGAAGAAGGACGAGGAACGCGAAGCCGAGATGACGCGAGAGGGCCGCTTTGTGGGTGCATCGCTTGCACACGGGATCAATGCTAACCTAGCGGACAGTATATTCCAGCTTGTGTCGAACGCCGGGTGGCGTGGCCACGCCCTGGCGTCCGCTGAGGAGCGCCGCGTCGCATGTGAATCGTGCGTGGGGTATTTGCAGAAGGTCGAGGATGCGTGGTTGAACTTGGCATCGCACGGTGGAGAGCTAAGCGTTGCCGCTCATGCAGGAGAGATCATGAGGTTTGCGTTGGCCCGCCACGGCTTGCACAGAGTAGCGCTGCCAGACCGAGTTATCCTGCGCACGTTCTCCCGCTTTGACGGGCACGTCGGGCCTCGCGGGGGCTATGACATAACGTTGTCCCGAGAGGAGATCCAGGGGGGCGGCCCGGTGCTGGGCCAATGGCCTCGTGAGGGCGATGTCACCGAGGAGCAGGAGGCAGTCGTCCTTGAGATACAACGCAACAGGCGCGGACATCAGCACTACCTGTTACAAGCCAGCGTGGGCGCGCGCCGAGAATGATTCCCGCGGGAAGGTGCCTTCCCAGGGGGCAGGCGACCCTCCGGAGGTGGCTGGGGGAGAGACAGGACAGCACGACAGCGCAGGATTGCAGACGACGGCGAAACGAGCGCGCTTAACGAGGAAAAGCGCGCCGGCCGAGGGGGGCGCCAGCGCTCAGACGTCCGCCGGTGAGAATGGCGGTGGGGTGAAGCCGTCCGACCAGGCGGCGCCCCCTCCGCCTTCTCCGCGCCCGGTGAGCCGGCCGGAGACGGCGCGCAATGCAGGCAGGGCCAGCGCGGCCAATGATGGTCAAGAGTCCGAGGGTGTAGTGATTTCCAGGACGGCGCGGCCGAGCAGTGCAGGGGCGGACGCCAGCGCGGGCGGTGCGTGCAGGAGCGGCACGGAGCAGAGCAAGGCACAGGTGGTGGAGAACGACTACACGGAGCCAGCGGGGGCAGCGCACGTGCACCGCGCCCGCGCCGTCGAGAACGGCCGCGCGTCCGCGGAT